CTTATAGATTAATGTTCTGCCTTATAAATAAATGTTCTACCTTATAGATAAATAATCTACCTTATAGATAAATGTTCTGCCTTATAAATAAATGTTCTGCCTTATACATAAATGTTTTACCTTATAGATAAATGTTCTGCCTTATAGACAAATGTTCTGCCTTATAAATAAATGTTCTACCTTATAGATAAATATTCTATCTTATAGATAAATGTTCTGCTATATAAAGAAATGTTCTGCCTTATACATAAATGTTCTACCTTACAGATAAATGTTCTGCCTTATAGATTAATGTTCTTATAGATAAATATTCTTATAAATAAATGTTCTGCCTTATAAATAAATGGTCTTTCTTATAAATAAATGTTCTACCTTATAGATAAATGTTATTATAGATAAATGTTCTTATAAATAAATATTCTGCCTTATAAAAAGATGTTCTACCTTATAAATAAATGTTCTACCTTACAGATAAATGTTATTATAGATAAATGTTCTTATAAATAAATGTTCTGGTAAATGTTATTATAGATAAATGTTCTTATAAATAAATGTTCTGCCTTATACATAAATGTTCTACCTTATAAATAAATGTTCAACCTTATAGATAAATGTTCTTATAGATAAATATTCTAACTTATAGATAAATGTTCTACCTTATAAATAAATGTTCTGCCTGATACATAAATATTCTACCTTATAGATAAATGTTTTACCTTATAGATTAATGTTCTACCTTATAAATAAATGTTCTACCTCATAGATAAATATTCTACCTTATAGATAAATGTTTTACCTTAAAGATTAATGTTCTACCTCATAAATAAATATTCTACCTTATAGATAAATGTTCTACCTTATAAATAAATGTTCTGCCTTATAGATAAATGTTCTACCTTATAAATAAATGTTCAACCTTATAGATAAATATTCTACCTTATAGATAAATGTTCTGCCTTATAAATAAATGTTCTACCTTATAGATAAATATTCTACCTTATAGATAAATTTTCTACCTTATAAATAAATGTTCTACCTTATAAATAAATAATCTACCTTATAGATAAATGTTCTGCCTTATAAATAAATGTTCTGCCTTATGCATAAATATTCTACCTTATAAATAAATGTTCTACCTTATAAATAAATGTTCTACCTGATAGATAAATGTTCTACCTTATAAATACATATTCTAACTTATAGATAAATGTTCTACCTTATAAATAAATGTTCTACCTGATAGATACATATTCTACCTTACAGATAAATGTTCTACCTTATAAATAAATATTCTACCTTATAGATAAATGTTCTACCTTATAAATAAATGTTCTACCTCATAGATAAATATTCTACCTTATAGATAAATGTTCTACCTTACAGATAAATGTTCTACCTTATAAATACATGTTCTACCTCATACATGTAAATAAATGTTCTGCCTTATAAATAAATGTTCTACCTGATAGACAAATATTCTACCTTATAGATAAATATTCTACCTTATAGATAAATGTTCCGCCTTATACATAAATGTTCTACCTGATAAATAAATATTCTACCTTATAGATAAATGTTCTGCCTTATAAATAAATGTTCTACCTGATAGATAAATAATCTACCTTATAGATAAATGTTTTACCTTATAGATTAATGTTCTCCCTTATAAATAAATATTCTACCTTATAAATAAATGTTCTACCTCATAGATAAATATTCTACCTTATAAGGCAGAACATTTATTTATAAGTCAGCACATTTATCAATAAGTTAGAATATTTATCTATGAGGTAGAACATCTATTTATAAGGTAGAATATTGGTCTATCAGGTAAAACATTTATCGATAAGGTAGAATATTTATGTACAAGGCAGAACATTTATAGATAGATGTTCTAATTTATAGATAAATGTTTTACTTTATAGATTAATGTTCTGACTTATAAATAAATGTTCTACCTTATAGATAAATGTTCTGCCTTATAGATAGATGTTCTACTTTATAGATAAATGTTCTGCCTTATAGATAAATGTTCTATAGATTAATGTTCTGACCTACCTTATAGATAAATGTTTTACCTTATAGATTAATGTTCTACCTTATAAATAAATATTCTGCCTTATACATAAATGTTCGACCTGATAGATAAATATTCTACCTTATTGATAAATGTTCTGCCTTATAAATAAATGTTCTACCTTATAGATAAATGTTCTGCCTTATTGATAAATGTTCTACTTTATAGATAAATATTCTACCTGATAGATAAATGTTCTACCTTATAGATTAATGTTCTACCTTATAAATAAATATTCTGCCTGATACATAAATGTTCGACCTGATAGATAAATATTCTACCTTATTGATAAATGTTCTACCTTATAGATAAATGTTCTGCCTTATTGATAAATGTTCTACCTTATAGATACATGTTCTACCTTATAGATAAATGTTCTGCCTTATAGATACATGTTCTACCTTATTAATATATGTTCGCATTCTAGATAAATGTTCTGCCTTATAGATAAATGTTATGCCGCATAGACAAATGTTCTGCCGTATAGTTAAATGTTTTGCTGCATAGATAAATGTCCTGCCTTATAAATGTCTTATACATAAATATTCTGCATTATATTACTGAAACGACTGTAATGCTTTCGTTTTATTTGTTCTGGTCTTAGTTAAAAATTGAATAGCACGCGCATTATGAATATATGTCTGAAATCCCGTTTAGAATTATTGGATACAGTTAATTTATACATTTATTGATGCTTTTTTCTGATTTTGACAATGAAGCAATATTTCAATTCCTTATTTGTTCTCTTATAAAGTAACAGCTAATTTCTACCTGCAATTTTTCTCGCACCTCATACAGAGATATCCCACGATAGCTGTTTTTCTATCTGTGACAATTCGCTGCGATGTATTCATTCGCGAGTTAACGGCTTGAACTTGACAATCTGCATTATAAATATTCAGTTGTGCGACATGTGTCTTTATATGTTTAGATGTTGTTAGATATCTGATGTGGTAGATCATGTGTACCTATACAGTTGGGGGAATACTGCGAATCCATTGACATCAGCCGGGTCCATCAGTCTCTAGACGTTTCAACCCTTGTCCCGGAACGTCCTCATAGACTGAGTGTGCCGGGAACCCTCTGCATCCGACCTCAACAGGAAACAGCCATGTACGCCACCCTCGCTCCCTATATTGTTCCATGAGCTCCGCATACTTGGCTCTCTTTCTCTTTCATCGGCCTGGTCGCACCGCTCCTCCCAGGGTACAGTCAGCTCGATGACTATAATATGCCTGGATTCGGCAGACCAAATCACCACTTCTGGACGTAGCATTGTCTGTACGACGTCCGGAAACACCAGTTTCTTCCCAAGGTCGACTCTCATCTCCCCTGTCTCTGGTCCGTCCAGAATGCCAGTGTTGCCTGATGTTGCTTTGGTCTCATTCTCCCCTGCTTTTACAAACCGGATAAAGGATGGATTGTGCTTACGATGTGGTCTCTTCTTCTTCCTTTCCACCTCGAGAACATTTGCCAATTCCCGAAGCACCTGGTCATGCCTCCACCGGTACCATCCCTGTGTCAGCGCTGTCTTGCATGCTGAAAGGATATGACCCATGGTCCCACGTTCTTGACATAGCTGGCACATTGGCTCTTCAACTAGTCCCCACAGATGAAGGTTCATTGGCGACGATAAAGTGTTGTATATCGACCGCAACAGGAACTGGATCCTTAATGGTTCATAGCGCCACAGGTCTGTCCATGTGAGTTTCCGCTCCGGCAGCTTCCTTCTCGTCCATGCTCCTTGAGAGCCCATTTTCACTGCCCTTGCTTCCCTTGTCCCTTCTTCTTCTCTGAACCTTCCCACGTCTGGAAATGGGCTGTCCCCAGCCCTTGTCGTCCTGAGCAGGTTGCTCCGACGATGTCCCGGTGCTTAAGAGCTTCCCCGGCCTGCTCCACAGACTGGCTTGCAGACCATTTTCTTCCTGTGCTAGTCTGGATTCCTGCGTGTCTTATCTTCTCGTCCTTTAAATCTCGTAGCGTCAACGCTGGTCTGGCCTTTGTTACCTTGAACTTCTCCACCAACGATGACAGTGGGAGTCGCAGTGATGGCGTCTGGCTGTAAACCCAATGCTGGAGAAACTGGGCGGGACTCCAAGCCACCTCCGCAGTTGTTGCTGATGGATCTTTCCAGTTCTTCCACTGTTGTCAAAGGAACTTCATATAGCATTAGTGGCCACATGAGTCTCGGCAGCAGTCCATGTTGGAAGATCCATGCCTTGAACTTTCCTGGCAGGCCTGACTTGTAATCTTCGTCATCCACTCAATTGCCTGCTTCTGCATGCTGCTGATGTTGCTGGTATCTTTCAGTGATGCATCAAACTACTTTCCTAGGCACTTGATTGGGTTGTCCGCAGTAGATGGGATCTCTTCTCCTTGAACCTTCAGCTTGAACTGTTGTGTCAGTCGTCCCTTCCTCATTACCATGCACCTCGATTTTCTTGCCTTGAATTTCATCCTTGCTCACGAGACTGTCTCCTCCAATGCAGACAGAACCCATCTTGCTTGGACATGTGTGGTGGTAGTCACAGTCAGGTCATCCATAAAACCTCGATTCGACGGTTGGTAGATTCCTAATTCTGTCCTGGGCCCCCTGGTTTCCCGTCCTGCTGCCTTGATGATAAGATTCATCCCCATCACAAATACAATGTGATATGACTGATATGGTACATCATGTCACTATTTCTTTCTCCGTGTTTTGCATGTTGTATTCTCACCGACAGTAAAACGCACCTGGATTCCACTGAAGTAGCTTCGTACTATTCCCGGGATAAAGTAATGCTGTAGGGCTACTTCAATCAGCTGGTGTGGTATTGATCCATATGCATTTGCCAGGTCTAGCCACACTACTGTCAGATTCCCTCGGCTGGACTTTGCCTCTCTGATTAGTTGGCTTAGCACACTGGTATGCTCCACACAACCTGAAAAGCCTGGGATACCTCCTTTCTGTACTGATGTGTCAATGTATCCATTAGTCGTCATGTACGATGTCATCCTTCTTGCCCATTTTGCCGGTGTCAAGCGGAAACTCAGTATAATCTACACTGTGAAATACGCTGTCTTCTTTGTAAGGAAGGACTATATTTTTTACACGAAAGCATTCATATGTAGCTTTAGTAGTGTAGGCTTTTTTTTATTTAAGGCCGCAGACGGGATACCTGTAATCTTTAGCAAAACTTAATCTTTTCTGAACAAGTTACAGGTAATAGATTTTTATTAATGTCGAACGTTTTAATAATTTGACATCACGACTGTAACGACGTCACAATCATCAATGTATCAATATTAGTATAATGTTTTTCCCCAAAGAAACAAAAAAAAACAAAAAAAACTTGTAATTGCAGGACGGAAAAGGAAGCCCTCGTGGCTGAGAATGAGGAGATCAATACTGTCCTAAATCTTGTACAGAGCGAGAAAAACGAAAACATGGACACTGAAGACACGAACCGACTATTGGAGCTCATCGACAACCTCGATTTATTTAACGCTCAGGCGGAACAGGAAATCAAGCGTATGGCTGACCTCGATGCGGAAGTTGCGCGTGTCGAACAGGATATCACCAAACATCGACGCTCGCAAGGGGGCAACACGGAGCAAATGGTAGAGAATACCATACAAAAGAAAATCAGGGTCAAGGAAAACAGACTCGATAAGGTTAGAGCTAATTAATATCAGACTGAGGTTCAACACAAGCCGATTCGATCACAAACACCTGCTAATTTGTTACAGCTATATTTGTGTATAAACTAAGGTGTTCAGAGTATTTTACACGTTTTACACGCCATTTCCGAGTTTCAAAGTTTTTCGCAGTCGAACACCCACTTTTTGTATATTCATGAGGTTGACGTCAGCCACGTGCCGAAACACATCGTGTTGATTGGCTGGTTATTTTAGGGGAAAAGTAACTGCGCTTCCATCCATCTCACCACGGGTTTCGGCAATTGCAAAATGTGGCTCTATGACTTCGAAAAACCTTGAAACTCGGAAATGGTGTGTTGTTTTGGAGGAACGCCTAAGTATGAGTTAATTTCCAAATATAGCTGTAACAAATGCTCAGGTCCCTGTGGAATCGATAAGACTAATGTCAAAGAAACAGACTCCATAAAGTCTGAAGTTAGGGTTTATACAAACCAAGGTTATTATTTTTAAAACAAACTCGATAGTGACTGGGTCAGTTCAAATCAAGGTTAATGAAAGCTGACGCGATAAGATCTGGATCAATACAAATCAAGGTTAATGAAAACAGACTCGATAAGGTCTGGTTTAATACAAATCAAGGTTAATGAAAACAGACGCGATAAGGTCTGGGTCAATACAAATCAAGGTTAATAGAAACAGGCGCGATAAGGTCTGGGTCAATACAAATCAAGGTTTATGAAAACCGACGCGATAAGGTCTGGGTCAATATAAACAAGGTCAATGAAAACAGACTCGATAAGGTCTGGGTCAATACAAATCAAGGTTAATGAAAACAGACTCGATATTTTCTGGGTAAAAAAACAACAGGGTCACGGTAAACAGACTCAAAAAGTTTGGATCCAGTAAAATCCAGGGTCAACGTCAGTGTAAAAGAAAGCAGACTCTACAAGGTCCGAGTGAAAGACACAGAACTTATAAGATCAGAGTCAAGGGACACTAACTCGATAACGTTATAGACCGAGCTCGCGTAAACTGAGCCTTCAAATCATGAACTCGACATGTTCACTCATACCTTCGGCGTTCACTCGAGATGTTATAGTTAAAGCATCTTATATAGATGCACTTAAAATGTAAGAGTACATACAATTATAGCCAAACATTGCTGTATGTTGCTTAGGTAATCTTTTTCTCTATTGAACTTTTGATTTATTAAGATGTCAAACCTCAGTTAAGCTCACCGTAACTTTGCGGACAAGAAATAACGCGTCTATAAGCGTCTATCCAATGCTACAGGCTATGATCAAGTTCAACCAGCAGCTGGCGGTCAATGCCCATCTACGACAGGAGATTGACCACCTCCGCCAGGAACGGTCAGTGTTTGACGGACTCTTCAAGAAGCTCACAAATGACCTCGGCGACATCAAGGCTGAAATGGACGAGGTCATCGGGGAGGCTGCACGCGCATACGAGGAGCGGGACGAGGCACAGACCAAGATGATCGCTCTGAAGGTAGATACAAGGATATCTGATTGGCTAGAAACTTTTCTGATCGCTCTATGTAGATAACGGGAGAACTGATTGGTTAAATATAATTTGTGATCGCTGTTAAGATAGATGACGGGAGATGTTATTGTTTACAATACTTTTATATCCCCCTCCTATAGAGTTCCATTGTAGAATAAATCTCAAAGTTACCTTGAACTTGATTGATGAACTATAATATGTATTTGAATCGTATTGAATCGATTGATTCAGCCTCGACACACCATATCGTTACATGCATTACCCGGAACATTTTGTATGATACGAAGCGTACTTAGTCCGATTAAATACCAAGATTAACTAATGGATGCTTTTCCGAAACATTATATTTTTGTGTTCGAAAATACTACCTGATCGGAAGGGCCTTTATTAGGGGTTTTAAGGATCCTATTTTTTGTTCGGAAAGACCCGATTGCTTGATGTTCAGAAGAATCCCTGCTTTCCAAGGACCATGTTGAAATATATGATTTAAAGGAAACCCCATAATTAGCGTTTTATAGGATATTGTTTGTGTTTTAAATGGCCTTGTATGTGTTTTATAGGGCTTTGTTTATGTTTTATAATGCTTTGTATGTGATTTATAGTGCATTGTATGTGTTTTATAGTGCCTTGTGTGTGTTTTATAGTGCCTTGTGTGTGTTTTATAGGGCTTTGTGTGTGTTTTATAGTGTCTTATGTGTGTTTTATAGGGCTTTGTGAGTGTTTTATAGGGCTTTGTATATGTTTTATTGTGCCTTGTATTTGATTTATAGGGCCTGGGTGTGTTTTATTGGGACTTGTTTATGTTTTATAGTGCCTTATATGCGTTTTATTGGGCATTGTATGTGTTTTATAGGGCCTTGTATGTGTTCTATTGGGGTTTGGGTATGTTTTATAGGGCCTTCTATGTGTTTTATAAGGCATTTTATGTGTTTTATAGGGCATTTTATGTGTTCTGTTGGGCATTGTATGTGTTTTATAGGGCCTTGTATGTGTTTTATAGTGCCTTGTATGTGTTTTATAGGTCCTTGTATGTTTTTCATAGTGCCTTATATGTGTTTTTTAGTGCCTTGTATGTGTTTTATAGTGCCTTGTATGTGTTTATAGGGCATTTTATGTGTTTTATTGGGCATTGCCTGTGTTTTATAGGGCCTTATTTATATTTTATAGGGCCTTGTTTGTGTTTTATATGGCATTGTATGTGTTTTATTTGGCCTTGTTTGTGTTTTATTAGACCTTGTATGTGTTTTAATGGGCATTGTTTGTGTTTTATTAGACATTGTTTGTGTTTTAATGGTCATTGTTTGTGTTTTATAGGGCATTGTATGTTTTTTATAGGGCCTTGTATGTGTTTTATAGGGCATTTTATGTGTTTTATAGGGCATATTATGTGTTTTTTTGGGCACTGTATGTGTTTTAAAGGGCCTTGTATGTGTTCTATAGTGCCTTGTATGTGTTTTATAGTGCCTTGTATGTGTTTTATAGTGCCTTGTATGTGTTTATAGTGCCTTGTTTGTGTTTTATAGTGCCTTGTTTATGTGTTATAGGGCGTTGTATGTGTTTAATAGGGCCTTGTTTGTGTTTTATAGGGATTTTGATGTGTTTTATTGGGGCTTATTTATGGGTTTTTTAGTGCCTTGCATGTGTTTTATAGGGTATGCGTTTTATAGGGCCTTGTATGTGTTTTATTGGGACTTGCTTATGTTGTGTAGGGCCTTGCTTATGTTTTGTAGGGCCTTGTATGCGTTTTATAGGGCATTGTATGTGTTTTATAGGGCCTTGTTTGTGTTTTATAGTGCCTTGTATGTGTTTTATAGCTCCTCGTATGTGTTTCATAGTGCCTTGTTTATGTTTGATAGGGCCTTGTTCATGTTTTATAGGGCCTTGTATGTGTTTTATAGTGCCTTGTATGTGTTTTATAGCGCCTCGTATGTGTTTCATAGTGCCTTGTTTATGTTTGATAGGGCCTTGTTTATGTTTTATAGGGCCTTGTATGTGATTTATAGGGCCTTGTTTGTGTTTTATTAGGCATTGTATGTGTTTTATAGGGCCTTGTATGTGTTTTATAGTGCCTTCTATGTGTTTTATATGGCATTGTATGTGTTTTATAGTGCCTTGTTTGTGTTTTATAGTGCCTTGTTTGTGTTATATAGGGCATTGTATGTGTTTTATAGGGCCTTGTATGTGTTTTATAGGGCCTTGTATGTGTTTTATAGGGCATTTTATGTGTTTTATAGGGCATTGTATATGTTTAATTAGACCTTGTATGTGTTTTATAGTGCCTTGTATGTGTTTTATAGTGCCTTGTATGTGTTTTATAGTGCCTTGTATGTGTTTTATAGTGCCTTGTATGTGTTTTATAGTGCCTTGTATGTGTTTTATAGTGCCTTGTATGTGTTTTATAGTGCCTTGTATGTGTTTTATAGTGCCTTGTATGTGTTTTATAGTGCCTTGTATGTGTTTTATAGTGCCTTGTATGTGTTTTATAGTGCCTTGTATGTGTTTTATAGTGCCTTGTATGTGTTTTATAGTGCCTTGTATGTGTTTTATAGTGCCTTGTATGTGTTTTATAGTGCCTTGTATGTGTTTTATAGTGCCTTGTATGTGTTTTATAGTGCCTTGTATGTGTTTTATAGTGCCTTGTATGTGTTTTATAGTGCCTTGTATGTGTTTTATAGGGCATTGTATGTGTTTATAGTGCCTTGTTTGTGTTTTATAGTGCCTTGTTTATGTGTTATAGGGCGTTGTATGTGTTTAATAGGGCCTTGTTTGTGTTTTATAGGGATTTTTATGTGTTTTATTGGGGTTTTATTGGTTTTTTAGTGCCTTGTATGTGTTTTATAGGGTATGTGTTTTATAGGGCCTTGTATGTGTTTTATTGGGACTTGCTCATGTTTTGTAGGGCCTTGTTTGTGTTTTATAGTGCCTTGTTTGTCTTTTATAGTGCCTTGTATGTGTTTTATAGCGCCTCGTATGTGTTTCATAGTGCCTTGTTTATGTTTGATAGGGCCTTGTTTATGTTTTATAGGGCCTTGTATGTGATTTATAGGGCCTTGTTTATGTTTTATTAGGCATTGTATGTGTTTTATAGGGCATTGTATGTGTTTTATAGTGCCTTGTATGTGTTTTATATGGCATTGTATGTGTTTTATAGTGTCTTGTTTGTGTTTTATAGTGCCTTGTTTGTGTTTTATAGGGCATTGTGTGTGTTTTATAGGGCCTTGTATGTGTTTTATTGGGCATTTTATGTGTTTTATAGGGCATTTTATGTGTTTTATAGGGCATTGTATATGTTTAATTAGACCTTGTATGTGTTTGAATGGGCATTGTTTGTGTTTTATAGGGCACTGTTTGTGTTTTATAGGGCCTTGTATGTGTTTTATAGGGCATTTTATGTGTTTTATAGGGCATTTTATGTGTTCTGTTGGGCATTGTATGTGTTTTATAGTGCCTTGTATGTGTTTTATAGGGCCTTGTATGTGTTTTATAGGGCATTTTATGTGTTCTGTTGGGCATTGTATGTGTTTTATAGTGCCTTGTATGTGTTTTATAGTGCCTTGTTTGTTTTATAGAGCCTTATTTATGTGTTATAGGGCCTTGTAAGTTTTATAGTGCCTTGTGTGTGTTGTAACAGTATTGTTCCTGACTTGTGGTGTGTTAGGGTTAGGGTGTGCGTTGTAACAGTATTGTTCCTGACTTGTATTGTGTTAGGGTTAGGGTTTTTGTTGTAACAGTATTGTTCCTGACTTGTATTGTGTAAGGGTTAGGGTG